GCGGTTATAGATCCTGAGGTCCTTTGCAGGGTGTGCCTTCGTAAACATAAAAATACCGTCCACTTACGAAATATATCAGATTTGATGACAGTCTGTGCCGATTCATTTGCTTGTAAAATTACACAGGAATATGTTGCTTTGATATCAGGTATCACAGAAAATCTGTATGACGTCGTTTCACGGCTATATGGTATTGTTTGTAACGGGACTGTAATGTTGTCACTGACGTCATGTTTCTTTACCGTAACCATGACATGAAAACCTTGAGCAACACCATGAAAAATTGTACAGTAGATATCTGTCAAGTGACCCTCATTTGCTGGTGAAAAAGTAGTATCAGAAATTCCTGTAAATGAGAGAATGAGTAGAATACAGGATAAATAAATGTTATGGTTTTTCCATTGTCAGATATCGACGTGAACATTATTTTATAAAATATGTCTTTCTAGGCTATAATTAAGCAAAAATTATTTCTACTGAATTGGATAGGATGGGATTTCTTCGTTGTGATACACACCAAGAAATAACCAACGAATCCTCAGACTTATTCCAGTGGGGTCCTTCCGGTGGTAAACCGTGCAGTAGCCCTACCGTCCGGGAGACAATCTCCTTTCCGAAGAGTGTACTGCGTTCTTTAACATGCTCATGGGCCATTTTGCACACAAGCTCAACTGTTTAAACGGCTCCTTCAATAATAGTAATAGTGTAATTTTATATAGCGCACATATCCATCTAATGTAAGAGGCTCAATGCGCTTGATATGTGGACTAGGAACTCGATAAATGACTTTCTTCGCCCCTAAGTGTCCCTTCGTGTCTGTGCTACCCGGTAACCCGGTACCAGCAAATGCCGTGGTCCACAGGGCTGTCTGTTCCGGTACAGTTCCTACTCGTCTCGAAGGATGTACTGGGGTCTTAACAGTGCACACGAGCCATTGTATACACTGGGCCTACGGTTTATAGTCCTTATCCGAGAAGAATTGTTCTACCACCAGAACCATAGGGGAGCGTGCTGTTCGAACTAGTGCCGATATTATGGCTATAGCTTGCGGCCCCCTGCTTACCGCTCGGCCATTCGACTCACCGTTTGACTCAAAAAACGATGCGCTTTTGAAACCAGTGCATTTCAGCCCTCCAGTAGAGTGTACAAGGAGAGCAGCGATAAGAATTGAACCGGGGACCTAGAGATCAAATGGTTCTGTGAACACAGTGGCTACCACTTGTTTAGCCGAACTGGCTGCTCTCTGTATTTATTTTGTATAATATAATAACAATTTTTATAACTTTTTAAATAGAAGGTCTACACAAAATGTCATAAATGACGGTAAGTTGGCGTATAAATGGTAAGATTAACAATCAACATTTTAAATTAACTTCTTATAATAGCAGCAAACTGGTAAAATTGCCTACCGATTTCACAATATGGTTTCAGCCAATTAGAATTACACGATCCTTTCAAGCATTTTCCCAATCTGTTGATGCAGGTTGTACATTTTGTGCATTTCAAGTCACAGTTTTCTCCAAAATAGCCAGTTTCACATTCTACAAATAATGAACCGTAGAAGTTTTGAAAAAAAATGATCACATTCACACGTGTACGGCTTTACATATTCATATTTTCATTTTCATATTGGTTATTTATATAGCACCTTTCTTTGCAAATAAGAAGCGCTTCCGTCCCTGGTCATTGGATCCACATGAAGTGTTGCTGCTGTAGTCAGCACAGGAGCAAGCAAACCCACCAGGTGCCCATTTATACTCCTGGGTGGAGAGAAGCAATGCAGATAAAGTGCCTTGCTCAAGGACACAAGCGAAATGCACAGCAAAGGATTGAAACCCCGACATCAAGGTTAGGAAACCAAAACTTTCACGCTCGCTGCGCCAAACCGCTTCTACAAAAAATAAATTACAAAAAAAAGCTTAAATAACTCACAAAATCGAAAAGGTTTCACTCATTTCGACTGGATAATTTTCAAATCTTTGATATCAATAACATTGTAACAAATATTGGCCTAGTAGGCCTAGATATTTGAATTAGGCATGGCCCTATACATTATGTATTGTCTATGTCGTTTATTTATATCTCTTGGTTATCGTCTTTGAATGATAAAGGGCCCGGTAAACTTATGGACATTGAGTCTGCTACCAGTCTTTTTGCACATTCCTTTTTCCTTGTGCTGTTTTACTTGCTGTTTCCGTTATGTTTAATGCATGCATAATGTATTGTATATTTCAAATGCAATATTTTATGATCAAAGTTAGTTTAATTATTTATTTACTTATTCAAATTATTATGAATTATATTATAACCAAGGTGGCCTTATCAGTCAAACAGAGTGATCTCTATTGGGGCCCTGGGCACAAAGTTAATATAGGCCTAAACTACAAAGACTAAAAACATCAATACAGTATATGCAACAGAAAATTTACATGCCCCACTAATACAGTGGCATACTTGGGTACATCCTACTCCGAATGTCCCCGCTTGACAGCCTGTAAATGATTACATTGTTTCCTATATAAATAACATTTAGGCTTATTCTTTTTTTCAATTTTATGTTGTACATATAACGAGTATAAAATAAGTAATGGCTTACCGGTAGACCTACCTGTGAAACAGTCACGACCTGTATATCCTGCACCACAGGTACATCCGTATGGGTCTGGTAAGCAGACACGAAGCCTCCGTCTTCTACATTTACAGACATTTTCGCAGTTCCGTCCAAAAAGATAAGAACTGCACTCTGGAAATATCAAGAAGTACCACTAAACCGTCCGCGGCAACACCACTGTCGTCATCATAGTCGTCATAGTCATATAATTGATATCTGGTTCTATTTCTGGCTGTTTACTTACGTTTACTTTATATATATATATATAATTTTTAAATAAAATAATAATGATAATGATAATAATAATAATAATAATAATAATAATAATAATAATAATAATAATAATAATAATAATAATAATATATTTTATGTTCCGTAAAAACGTCTACCTCTGTCACTTATTGTCGACATTGACTCACATGTTATATACCCGTAGAAAGGCCTATGCCTATAGAAGACTAAAGAGAATTTATATAATTCTATAATAGAAAATTCAGCCAAGAATTATTTTTCTATATAAAACCTATCCATTCTCTCTAGAGATAGTTCTATAGAAATATAATTCTATAGAAAATGTATCCAACATTTTTTTCTTTATATAAAACCCAACCATTCTCAATAGATATGGTAGATAGAGATAGTTCTATAGAAATATAATTCTATAGAGAATTACTTAGAAAAATGTAAATACTTTTTATAAAAAGAGTTCTAAATAAATTTCATACAATTTTTAGATTCAATTATCCCATATTTCTTTATAGATATTTTAAATATATTATCGTTAGAATTTTTATTTTCTTTTAGAAAAATCCTATACAATTCTTGTTTAATTCTGATATATTTTTTTATGTAATTTTGAACGATTTTCGATAAAATTGCTTAGAAAGTCGATAGAAATTATACAGATAAGTGTATGATATACAATTTTATAGAATCCTTTATTATTATAAATAGATTTCTATATTATCAATTATCCTCTATTAAAATTCTATACACATTTTAAAGTTTTAGTGGACGTGTTGACAGATTCTATAGGAAATATATGTAAATACCACATTGTATTAATTTTTAATTAATAAATTTATGAAAACATTTTAAACAATTCTTAAATCTTAATTATCTGGATTTTTCAAAACTATCTACCTGCACTTTATCACAAAACATGAATCAAGCACTCAAAGTGGAGCATGAATTATGCATATTAGGAAGCAATAAACCAAACAAACACATCGCGTAAGAAAAAGAAAAACTAAGTTCGAAAACTTTTTAAAATCAACCTTCTTGTAAGAAGATGAGATGTTTTGAATATTAATATTTAGGACTAACGATATTACATATGTTATCTTCCATAAGCCTATTTTGTATTCTAATTTATGTTTTTATAATTTCCAAACCCTGATAGGTAGGCCTAATGCAGGCTAGCCTCTACTGGTTAGTCTGGGCTTAGCCAAGGCTGCCTAGGCCTGTGTCAAGTGATGCTCCCATTAGTGATGTTCTCAGTGTAGCTCCTCAACTTATATGTAATAATATAGGATGTGTTTTGGTAAGTGTGTCCATTATTACCTCCGCCAAAGGAGGTTGTTTTCTTCCCTTTTTCTTTGTTTCTGTGTTTGTTTGTCTGTCTGTCTTTCTGTCCGTTTGTGAACAGTCTACAGGGTACATTTTTCATCAGAAACTTTTTTTTTAAACTTGGTCACATCATCTATGACCAAGGATCTCAAATTTTAATGGGCTATGGTAAAAGGTCTAAGTCACAATCGACGAAAAACTACATTTTATATATAACATCCTACAGCTAACAATTTTATTAGAAATTTGTAAAACTTTGTCACAATATTCCATGACCAACAATCTAAAGATGATTAAATATTGAGGGGTCAAGGTCACAATAATCGAAAAACTACTTGTTTATATATAGGCCCTACCATCCTACAGCCGACAATTTTTATCAGAAATCAGTAAACCGTAACATTATGGTAATTTTTATTGACCAACAATCTAAAGATGATTATATTTGGAAGGGTCAGGGCCTAAAGTCAAGGTCACAATCCACGAAAACTACCTTTTATATATAACAGCCTATAGCCAACAATTTTTATCAGAAACTCGTCAAACTTGGTCACAATTATGCACGACCAAAGATCTGGAGGTCATTTAATTTTTAAACGTCAAGGTTACATGTCAATGTCACAATCGGCGAAAACTACCTTTTTATATATAACAGCCTACAGTCGACAATTTATATTAGAAATTCGTAAAACTTGGTCACAATGTTCCATGACCAACAATCTAAAGATGATTAAATTTTTAAGGGTCAGGGTCAAAGATCAAGGTCGCAACCGACGAGAAACTACTTTTTTTTATAACAGCCTATTGTGCACAGGGTTCATCAGAAACTTGTCAAAGTCGGCCACAGTATTTCATGAAAAAAGTTCTTGATGTGACTAAATTTATTGAAGGGTCAGGGTCAAAGTTCAACTTACTATATAAAAGTGTAATTTCCGGCAATCTATGTACTTTCCTCATTTTTTGTACGCACCCAAACCGCCAAATCCTGCATCCGCCCCAGACTTCCACATGAAAGATTTGATTTCATATTGCTCTGCTCCTGCATCGGACACTGTTGTCTAAATGATCTGGTCTCAATGTATATGTAGGCCTATGTGTATGTATTTTATGTGTTTCAATTTATGTACTCGCCTAATGTTTTTCCTACCAGTTTCACAGGTTGTCCCTTTAAATCCAGGTGCGCAGATACAAAGCCCCGTTTTGTCATCACATACTCCGCCATTGTAACAGTATTCACAATCACCTGTACAGTCAGGTGGACCCCATTTGTGACGTGGACACGCTTAAGGAAACAGAAAAATAGTTACATCAAAGAAGAACAGTATAAATATGATATAATACCCTGTAACACTATGTTCAATGCTTTATCACACTGTCTCCAGCCCTGTCGAATAAAGTACAGAAACATCTGATAGATTATATCAAAGATACTAGAAAGTTTGGCACAAGTTTTTTTAGATCCAGCTGTAGGGGGCGTCCCATTTTTCGTATTCCCACCATGCATTTCGGTGGAACACTTTTTTGTGTGGAGAACTCTATCTTGTATTTCTAGTATCTTTGATTATATGTTTTAGTTTAAGTAAATGTAAGATATTAAATGATGTCTTTTAATAGAATATTTTATTTCAATGTCGTATTACGAATTATGTTTTACATAATTTCCACGCTATAGGATTAATTTTAGATAACATAGGCATGTAATAATGTTTCATTTTACGGTTGTGGGTAAACCTTTAATTCTGATCCTATTACGACCCATCAATGTAAGAACCCACCACGCACATAGATGAATAAATATATTTAAATTAAAATCTTCTAGATGATAAGGATGCTCTGGATAATCAACATAAAATTTATTAGCTGTTTAAACAGTGGCTCCAGACATTGTCAAAGGGGATCGACAGTTCAGGCTGGGGAATAAAAATCCCTGGTACTGGTAGGGCTTATAGGGAGAGTTTTATGGTTTAGTATGGCTCAAAATTGTGCATTTTAGACCATAATTTTGACAATCAAAATTACCTTATGTCATAAGGCATTTAAATATTTTTGGTCCGACTACTTTGTGTGGCGTCCATGGCGGGGGCCCCGGCCTAACCTAGACGGGGGAGAAGCAATTGCCTTCCCTGACCCTCCGTAGTAGGCCTAGAAGTGATATCATCTTTTTATTATTTCAGTAACCTAATCTCAAAACACATTGTTTCTACCTCGTATAATAAGCTTAATGAATGAATGTTTTCGATCATTTCGCTGATCAGTTCCATGCATTTCATACACTCCAGCGTCATTGACTTTGACTGGACTAAACGTCAAACTATCTGTATCGCTGCTGGCTATCCGTACGCCATCTTTCCTCCAAACAAACGGTCTACTTACGTTACCAATGACGTCGAAGCTGACGATGACTTCGTCGCCGACATTGGCAGATACACTGGTCGTACCGTTTGATGGTATTATAACGGCTGAAATCATATACAAAGTAAGTTGTTTAAGTACCAATGACAATGAAGTGTGATCTACAATATATACGTTTGATTATGAATGACACTCGGTTTTTTTATCATGATATTGGGAAGGCACTGTAAAGCCAAGAAGTAGTGGCCCAGGTTTCTGTCTGGGGGGGGGGGGGGGGGAGGTTGGTGTGAAGGGCTCGCTATCCCAGAGGCCGGAAATCGTCTGAAGGAGTACTGGGAGAAGCCCGGAGGCTCCGACAAGTTAGGGTTTTTAAATACTTATTTAATATACACAGGGTCTGTAAATTTACATTTTTTTTTTCGTTCGACAAATTGTTTTATTTTTCTGTCCAGCCGCACTTGCGTAATCCAAGAAACCAAGGCAAAACAAGTTCAAATACGGTACAAAAACAAAGCTATAATAGATTGGTAAGGACAATATAATTTAAACAGACAGAATATTCCACATCTTTTGAATTAGAAGAAAGAATTCTAGACATCCATATAGGCTTATTTATGTATTTTAAACAACAATTCAATCTAATAAAGCTCAAAATGTTTTTCGTCAGTTAATGTTTAACGTTCTGTTCTTTGGTTTTTTTGTATATTTAAGAAATGTTTGTGATTTTAATTCCTGAATTAAATAAAATGAGCGTGATCGTATGATTCATACCGTCACTGTATATTTTTGTCGTCTGAACGATCGTAATGACGTCATCATTCACTAACTTGCAGTAGTAGACTCCAAAGCTGTTACCCGGTACAGGTGGATCTGGTGTATAATATCTAGTTTGCGTAGCACTAACAGTCCAAGGTATATCTGTGATGTTGTCGGTGCTGTCAACTTGAAATGATCTACCGTAACTCAACATGTCACCGGGAACAATCGGAGAGGTACAGCATTCGAATCGACTGATATAATCTGTTCTAGGATAATCCACGACTGTTATACAGCCTTGGCTTCCTATAATGATCATTTATATTTCATTCACACTAATATAGTGTATTTACATAATAATGTATTACAGTATAGGCCTATGCTGAAATGTTAACGGCCATCATGGAAAAGTCTCATTAGAGGTTCATGACTCAGCTCTACCAACAAGGCTGGTCAACAAATATTACCTAGTACTTTATACACACCATAAAAGATCAATAGGCTTAAATAATATTCAGTGTCAATAATGTAATTAAGTACGGTAATCTTTTTTTTTTATTAAATGTTTTCCTTGTAGACAAGACACTTCTGTGGTTTACTATAAATCATCTAACTGAAAAATACTACAGTATTTTGATAGATTAAGTGGTTCAACAATAAGTAAGTTGTAATTCTTTTATAGGCTCTATTTTTAATGTAAATAGTTTTTATATCGTTATATTTATAAGCCTATTCTGTACTGTTCTATTGATGTTTTCGCGCTGCACCTTTAGGCTGTAAAGATCAAGAGGAAATAGTCATTAAGAAACTGAAGTAACGGTAGCTTTTACTGCGAAGAAATGGGAACTCCGAAACAATGCGCATGCGCAGTTACTAAATAACGTCCGTGAATTATCTATAAAAACACAATGAGCATGCGCTTGGAAATGCTATACAGTCAGTGAACATGTCACTGATCTCATAATAGCTGGATAGCTCATCGGCCAATCCTGGTACAGAAAAAAGTGAGGCCTCCGTCGCCATGTTGGAGGGCCAAAGTGACGTACCAGTTTAGGAAAGTTTCTTTTGGCATTTGTAACAGCTATAATAGAGATCAGTGTGAGCATGTGCATTGAGTAAGTGACGTTATCAAGCCATGTCGAGCATGCGCAGTTACCAAAAAGAGTCTCAGGAACCAAATAGCGGCTAGGAAGAGGGTATGATGACCAAAAAAATCGTCTTAAGAAGCAAACAGCGACTGCGAAGAGGGTATGAAATAGAAACGGAAAACCATATAATTTATTAATGGAAAATAATGAGAACTCGAGCGGGTCGAAAGCCTCTATTTTGGCTATCTTTACAGTCAGTTCAGCCAGTATCGGAGTATTATTACCGTTATATTATAATGTAATATATTCTACTTTTCGAAGTAAATTAGATTTATAATTTAGACTCGCCTGTGAAATCATAAAATTTGATAATTATAATCTATTTTTAAGGTTCTAAATAAAACACTGCGGTCTAGAATGAAAACTATTGGATATACAATTATTGGTTCTTCATCTCAATCTTGGAAAAAATGGTTTAAACTCACCAAAACTTAACCCGGCGATACACAGAAGATTTAAGGTAGGAAAGAGCATCTTGGAGTCCAATGAACTTCAGCTAAGAAAATGTTTTACATATAATTTACAATGGAATAAGAAAAAAAAAACAAAGTAAAGTGTAAGGTACCATGAAAGTGAAATATCAGTCATAATAAGAATAATGGTTTTGAAATTACACTTTATAATTTGTTAAAATAACTATATCCACTTTTATTTATTCTAGGCCTATATTTCTACTTATTTTAACACCTATTCGTCTCTCCGAGTGCTATATTAATCCTGGTGTTCACACGTTTTTATATGGTGACCCTTTATTCCAGCTTAGCTACCTGGGCGACCCAAACCTTTGTCGAATTATTTTTCATTAAGAATATTTTCCCATTCACGGTTTCGATTTCAATTTAAAAATAGTCAAATTGACTAAGAATACTGTAGACATAGACATAGGTCATTGTTTATCACCTCAGATATACGTGAAAGAGCAGAACCTCAATATATCACTGTCTTTCTTATTACTATATTAATATATTGACCAGTTAGAGAGCTGCAATCATTTTAAAGTGTTTGGTTCGGAGATATACGTGGTTCCATAATAAAACGGCAAGCTGCATTTAAAATTTGATAGAGGGGCACACCATATTAGGTGGGACGGTAGTTTTGTACCGCTTTTGTCTCTCCTCAGCCCTCCTCTTCCTTTCTTTGCTTGGAATTCTGTTTTGTTGTTGTTTTTTTTTTATTTTATGTGCTGAAATGAATAAAATATATAGGCCTACATAAAAAGTTTGAAACCTTTAATATATTAAATAGATTGTTTATATTTCATGCAAAGCCATACCCATTTAATAAAAAATAAAATGCATCCAATAATAAACGTTTTACTTTGTGGCACGGAAATTTGCATCATAGTTTCTATTAGGAAACGATAGTTTGCACTCAGGTACTACGGAAGACTAGGCATATTAGGCAGCTTTCGATTTGTGCGACGACGCGACGCTAGAACGGAATCACTCATGCGTGACCGTCCTACCTGGCGTCCTACGTTCTCTGCATACGTAGATTTGGCCGAACTGCGTTCCAGAATCTAGTCGACGAGGTGACCTTAACGTTCTCGCATGCGCAGATGACGTCATTACGTTCTACGTCCTACCGTCGTCGTGCAATCGAAAGCTCCCTAATACTAAGCACCGACAACAACCCAAAACTATAACAAAATCATATACATAGACATTAACATGCATAAGCCTACATTTATTTGATCTAGTGAATCGTAATGATCAGCGAACGAAGAGGATACTCATTTTTCATTTAGTAGCGTTTGATTAAGTTTCTCTAGGACTTATCTAATGTATTAAGGCTTGTGAATGAAAGTTGTATTTGATGGCTCAATATCACTACAGTAAAACCACTATTAAAGGAGCACCTTCGTGGCTAAAAAATGTCCCCTTAATAGGGATATCCCCTGAATAGGGGTTGGCTGTCGTGTTAAAACATATACTTTCTATCGATTTTAGTCCGGGGTGTCCCCTTAATAGGCCAAGGGCGTCGGAAGCGGTCCGGCTGGTCCGGTTTTGGCCGGACCAATAATTTACAACTCAATACCGTTTGTAAGCCAAATTGTGCTTTCTCTGATGCAACCTCTTCATTTTTTACAAAATTGAATGACCAGACTTCAAGCAACAAATATTTAAACCAGTCAACCTCGTCTACATGTAGTAGTACCCACCCTAAGCTGTCCAGAGGTGGCACCATGATTTTCCCTACGGGGACAGAGGTCCCCGTCGGAGTGGGGGATGGGGCCGATTCCCTTAATGAAGGGTCAGATTTCCATCACGATAGTGAGCGTGGTCGAGCGTCGCTTAAAAGACATCGAAAGCGGTCCAGGGTGCGAAGCCCCGAAAATTTTGACAATTTATGAATTTCAAAGGCTTATTCAATCGATTTTAGAGAAAATAAATATGTAGAAAATACATATACTTTTTTTTCTCCCTTTCGACAGGGGGCGGGGGAGAGGCCCCGGTCCCCCGCTGGCGCCACCTCTGAAGCTGTCTCAATTATACGGGTTTTTTTTTTACCTGAATGGATGTCATATAATTACTGGTACTGGGTATTTATATTACGCCTTTCCCTTGTGATTATGAAGTGCAAGCTAACCCTCAATAATTTAGAAAAACAATGGTTGGTCGACATAAAATTGGTCATTATTACAGTACAATCTCACAACAAAAACAACAAACAATAATACAGATTACAACTTTGGACAAGTATAATGGAGTGTTATGCTTATTTGTAAAAGATCTATCCAAATGTTCCATATGTCATTTATAGGGCTCAAATAAGTTATCAACTACAACGTAAAAAAAGTAAAAAAATAAAAAAAAGTTAATAACTTCAAACATAACTTGCACATTCAGTCTATTGAAAATATGGAACAAATTTGAAATTATTTCATTTTTACTGTAGTTAAGTATCAATAGCTTTGGCTTATTTATCAAGATTTGATTCACTACGTAAATAATAATCTTTCGGCCCCAAAACATAAACTCAGAAATACCGGGTCCGGTGGGGTATAATTTTATCTTTAGGTGACTAGAAGATTAGATTAATTCCAGTAAAACATTTTACTTGCTAGCAATCTTTTATTAATGCCCAAAACCCCGACTTAGAATTACCTGGATGGATGGTGCCCGGTGGGTATAGTTTTACCTGTAAATGACTAGAAGATTAGATTAATTCCTAGTAAAACATTTCACTTGTACAGTATCTTTATTAAGCCCCCAAAACCTCGACTCAAAATACCGGGATGGTGTCCGGCGGGGGATAGATTTACCTCTAAACTATTCTTATAATTATAATTAATAATAATTATTATTGTAATTATATTATTATTTAAGAGCAGGGAACAGTGAAATTACAATTTGTAAACAGTGAAATTGTAATTTCACTGTTCCCTGTTTAAGAGAGTTACATGGTAAAGGCTTTGCTTCCAATGTAATTCCTACATCTCATTTTCATATTTTCATTATTTTTTTTAGACATACTTTAAATTTTCTATTGTAATCATAATACTGTATATGAATATGAATGTGACTTTATGAAAGAAATAAAAATCAGGGAACAGTGAAATTGTAATTTCACAGTTCCATATTAAAAATCGAAACTAAACAATTAAACATTAGGCTAATGTATGTTAAAACGGCTGTTTTTAATATACATTCATCATCTGGTACGTTATTTGACTGCATTTTTAATAAAGAAAGAATTAACTGAATATTTAAAACTGCTAAGAAATAATTCAGTAAAGACCTACCACAAACATACAGAAAGGAATGAGAGTAGATAGTTGCAGTGGCGGATCTAGGGGATTATTTAGGGTGGCTATCCACCCCCCTCGAAGAAAAAAAATAGTCACTCGTCTTGTGTGTGTGCTTCTCATGTATACATGTTACATGTAGTAGGCTACTCTCGTAAAACATGCACTTTCTATTTTAAGCTTAACTTCTTTTCAGATATCATCCAAGAGCGTCTAGCCGTCTAATAATTCCAAACAAATCTCAATTGGAAGGGGCGGCCCTCCCAAAACCCATGATCAATGGGGGACAGTGGAACACGTCCCCTAATATTTTAAGGGGGTGGGAGGTTGGTCTCCTCACTTTTCGTCCTCAATGTAATAAATTCGTAAGTCAAGAAGATGCCTGAAAATTGTTGAAATGAACTTCATAAATGACCCAGGTTTTAACGATAGGGTGCTGTACAACATAGAGGGTGTGGGCTCACGAAATGTCCCCTCACATTTCGAAACAGATATGTGTCCTTGCTAAAGGGACCTGTGCCCTGTGCCCTTTGTCCCCCCCCCCGTGCTTGGTGCTTCGCAAATAGCATTATTCACCTCGCTCCCCACCCATTGCTAAATCCTAGATCCCCCACTGAACTTGATAAAATTCTTAATGATGCTGTACATCACATCCAGAGCATGAAACAATATTCAGTTTATAATGATTGTAAAAGATAATATAATATATTGTAATTTGTGCAATTCGAAAATATATTTAGTTTATTTTAATGCATACAATATATTATATCCGGCAACTGTGTATATAAACATACATTGTTTTAATAATGTATTGCATAAATCGTGTTGATCTAATTACAGGTCATAATAGAACCTGTCACACTAACAATGATCCGTATAAATTCCATTTGTCAGTGATATGGAAGTTTCTGGAGAGACTGCAAAACTTCAATAATTAAACCTTGAAATAGTATATTTCTCTGCGTGATTTGTTAAAACCTAAGAGTTTGTCTGGGCCCCCTCCTATAGGTCGTTAGAAATGTTCTCTGTAAAAAAATGTAAGGCTTTCTTGCGTAATACCAGCAAGAATACGATGCCCTGTAAGGACACAGTTTAATAAAAAAGGGTTTTCCATCGGGACCCCCAACCCCACCCCCTCCGCCATGGGCAAGAATAAGGTGAGGAGTGGGGGATCGTAGTATTTGGCCGGACCAATAAAAATTGCTTCCGACGCGCTTGATAGGGGTTCTATATATTAATAGTTAACACGTTAATTTGACTTTTATACCTCATAAGTGATATTTACAATAGGACTCGCGACTGTTTTCTGTAAAATATTGAAACAAATAATATAGTGGAAAAGGGCGTCTGCCATCTAATGCCCTATTTTATATAGGCCTACACAGAATTCGTTCATTCATGTTCATGATGCACTGAAGTATTGGCTAATTATTCATGGGCATATTATAAGTTGACTCTCGATCATGTTCTGGTTACGTTTGAGGACAATGGAACGGATACTTTCTAATAAATAGGCTTACCTGCTATGATGATAACGATAATATAATTGTCATTATTAGTAGTAATCTGATTAATAGGCCTATATATCAATATAGTACATTATACATATGGCATATATACATTCTGTCTCTTATACACATCTAGATGTGTATAAGAGACAGCATCCAGAGCATGAAACAATATTCAGTTTATAATGATTGTAAAAGATAATATAATATACCGTACCTTGTGCAATTCGAAAATATATCTAGTTTATTTCATTGCATACAATATATTATATCCGGCAACTCGTGTATATAAACAGACATTGTTTTAATATTGTATTGCATAAATCGTGTAGGTCTAATTACAGGTCATAATATAACCTGTCACACTAACAATTATCTGTTTAAATTCCGGGAATCAGAAATAAAGTCAGTAGGAAGAAATATAAGTAGGAATAAATGTCATTAACAAAGGAAAGATGTGTATAAGAGACAGAACCTAGACTCTATTCTATTTCAATATTGATTAATCGAAGTTTAGTGTCGAGACAACAATGTCCTAGGGTGTCCGGGGGCGTGCCCCGCGAAATGTTTGTGTTCTAGACGCCCGAAAATAACATTTGAGGCGTTCTGGGCTATCATTTTTTTCTTTTTCTTTCATTTTTCTTTTTTTTACCTCCCTAAATCCGTCCCTGGTTTAATCAAGTTACAAGGAAGAAATTTAGTTAGTGATCCAGTGAAGGGTGTAAATTTGAGGGTCTTTTCAATTTTTGAGGACCCAGACCTAAAAATCTCTTTAAAAGAAAATGGGTCTAAATGAAACATTCTGTAATACTTTGTAAAGGTCTTGTGAAAAAAGTGATTAAATTTTTGTGGCGGTCTGATGGTGTGGATCTGAGGACCATTTAAAGGAAAACGTTCCAGACCACATATTTCGAAAACGGATCAACACATCTGAATGAAACATTCGGAAAAAAGTTTAACCAAGTTACAAGGAAGAAATTATTATGTGCTGGCGACGAATCAGTCAAGGGTGTAAATTGGAGGGTCATTTCAAGTTTTGAGGACCCAGACCTACTGTAAATATATCTTTAAAAAAAATCAATGGGTATAATTTCAGCCTTGTGTAACAGTTTGTCAAGGTCGAGTAAAGAAATAGGACAGAAGCTAACTTGAGGTTTCACTTAATTTGCCTAGAAGGTTTTCACCCCGGTTTCTAGACAGTCAAAGTCATTAAAAAGTATGTATGATGACCCCATGTTTCGGGTCTGACCCTGAGACCCCTAGAAAAAACCCCAAAAACCAGTTACTTCAACCCAGAAAGAACATTCACCGGACCAATTTGTTTCACAAAGAAGTACTATTAACGTGCAAAGTATCCATAGCCAGGTTCCCATCTTTTCACTGGCCAAACTTATTTTTTTGGCGAAGCTACATTTATTTAAGATTCCTTTTAAGGTTCAAAATAATGTTAATAGGGATTTTTCGCAAGCTTACGTAAACGATAAATAATACGGTTACGTCATCACATTTTAATTAAACAACCCTTCCCCAAGAGTAGCATATCTGTCACAACGTAGGAGACTCATGTCTTGTGCATGAATCAAAAATCATATTTAGCTCCTACAGCGTATAGTCAATAATTCATTCAAATAAACATTTATTTCTTCCTTTTAAATTAATTCAAACAAACAATTGGATCAAGACGATAACATTTTAAAATAGCCGAAAAGATAAAAAAATGGCAAAAACAGATTTGATTAAAGGGCAGAGGGCAGTGCTCAAAAAGGAACACAAGTTAAAAAATCCTCACTCAGATACATGTGCCGAGCATGCCTTGAATAATAATGAAAAATAGACAAAATTTCCGATAAAAACAGACAGACAAACGCACACCCACGACACACACACACGCACCCACCCTCCCCCACACAACTTGCACGCACACCAAAAAACAAAGCGTACAGGGAAACAAAACTATGCAATGATACTCTAATATGAAGATATTTAAAGAAAAATGATAAAAAGAATCAATATTTCGATACCTAGCACGTTCTTTTTTTGTGGGTGGGATTTGCGAGAGAAATTTTTCCTTGAGGATGCAGATGTGATTTCAATGGGGAGTTTGTTAAAAAAAAAATTAATACCGCTATAACGTATATTATTGAAGAAGAGTAAGTTTAGTTTGAGAAAGATAAAGATTATTACCGGTACGTATGCTTGTGTTATATGTATGCAAATCAGAGTTTTTGAAAAAGGAACACGAAAGATTGGAAGGAAGGAGAGAGTTGATAGCTTCAAAAATAAAGTTGCATTGTTGTAATTTATTGATATCATAAACAGTTAATACATTTAAATAAGAAAAAAAAGTGGATCAAAATGAGCGAGCGGAGCGCCACAAATTAAACGAATGACTTTATTATTGGTGGATATCAACAATTTTACCGAGATTAAAAATTAAATGGGGAGTAAAAGAAACTTAGGCCTACCTTCAAATTTTGAGTCTGACTGTGCCATTTTTCCGACAACTTAGAAGTGCCTTTAGGCCTAGGCCTACATAAAAAACAAATGTTCGGATATGGAAAATGAGTCGGTGAAGACTCTTTACATGTCCAGAGGGGTCCGCAAACGCAAAAAGGTTGGGAACCACTGTTTTAGACCCATGTAACATTTTTAATTTGGGAACAAAAGGCAAAGCCAAAAAATAAAACCCAATATTTCAATAATAGGCCTTAGCGTGGCACGTGTGAAAGTAATGTCAAATTAAAACAGTGTGTTGTTTTTCGTGTAGGCCTATTTATAGGCCACACGACGGCGGACCACTCGACCATTGGCAGAACACTACATTTGCCACGGACCACCCGCAGACGTTGGACGGAAAACCAATAATTTTCGTCGGACCACCAATTGATCCACGGACCATGGGTTGCGTAATACTTATCTAAGCACCACCATGGTGAGCTGCGTTGAAAATTTGAAGAAACGGTACCTTTAGATGGCCGGAAATGACATTCTTATATAGGCCTAGTAGGGCCTTATAGTAAAAAATCATCATCACATCACCATCATAGTCAAAATAAAGCACCAACAAATTCTTCAATATTTTTTTTATCACAATTTTTAATAACACTTGTAATAGCTATTCACAAGAGCAAGGATTTTTGGATGAAACCCAAAATTAATTAATTAATTAATTAATTTTAATTAATCTGGTAGGAGACCTATGCAATTTTATTGGGTTTAATATGACCACTTTTTATGAGACCATTTTTGAGATATTTTTCTTCTCTTAGTAAAAAATTATGCTAAATTTGCCAAAATTATGCCTAGCATAGGCCAATGCAAGGAAGTATACCTCCTTGGCCTATGCTAGATGTTAAAAGGGTTTAAATTACGCCAAAAAGCATAATTATGCCAAATCTGGTTACTATGTTTTCACCGTTTATATTAGCCTAGGTTCCAGGCCCTAATTTTAGGTTACTCCCTCTTTATTGCACTTAGTGCGCACCATACCTAATTTTATTGGCGTCCCATACTCAATTTCTTTTTTCCATCTATCTCCATAGAGATATAATAAGAATTATTATTGTTTAATAGCTCTATGTCTATCTCAAATTAACTTTCTTGTTGGTGGCGCTGTCCAGAATGAGAAAAATAATAACAAATAAGAGACTTGTGGCAAGTCTACGTTTATAACTTTATATGAAATGGTTATCCGACAGTGGCAATTGGTATCGTGTGCAAAAAAACAATGAATTGACAAAAATAAAGGCTGACCTGATTCAGTTGGTTCGTTTGATCAGTGGCGGCGACGGGCAGCACACTGAGAAGGGGGCGTTAAAATACTACAACAAAATAGAGATAGCGAGTTCACGTTGTTCATTTGCACACGTGAATATTATTGGTTAGGACTAACGTAGTAATATAAACTCATAAGAATGGTAATCAAGGCTGTTTGTATTCTTGTTGGTGAGAAGGTAAAAGGAGTCATTAATTTCGAACAAGCGGTATGTCTTCTTTGCATATTTTGTAGCTAACCAAAGGTAGGGACTAGGGTAGGGCCTAGCCTAAGCCTAGGCCTGTACGGGTACGGGCGTACTTGACATGTTTGATGACTGCTGTAGCACAGTGTGGGCGTAGACCTAGGCTTATCCTATCTTGGCCAATGGCCTAGACCTATGCTTATGTATAGACAAGACGTAAGTTTGGTGGATTAGCTGCCATTGTTCTGTTCAGCATCTGATTATTTATTATGACTACAATTAGAGTTTTGTTGGAGTGGATAAGCTGTAGTTTAAAAAATTACCTTCCCGAAATGTGCCTTGGCCCTTATCCTCCTTCACACACTCATGATCTCAAGCCTTGTCGCTTTATTTTTTTGTACTATGCCTAGGCCTAGACACTTTTGTGGCCATTGCAGTACATTTCATATAGGTCTACTTGTCTTTCATTCATGATCTGGTCACCAACCAAAAAGGGCCTAGGCCTAGGCTAGGCCTAACCCTTAATATTAAAGGAATAAAGTACTTTAATTAAGTTAATATATTAAAAATGTTGTGGTATATATAATCAGGCCATGTAAAATAATTGGTTAACATCCCCACCATTTTTTTTTTTACAAAACACTCACAAACTCCATTTAATATAGGCCTCTAGTCTAGCCTAGGCCTAGGTGTGTTTACCACCATTCTGCATGTGCCAACCAGACCACTTGCAGTTCTAAGCTCTATTGTTGTTCAATACATGATGGCAGTTGTGTTGCTGGAGTGAATTGTGCGTGATTATGTAGCGATATGACTTATTCCAGGGAGATGTAAAACATCTCCCTGGTTTATTTATAGGTAAAGTTTCCGCTTGTTATAGATGTACTTCCTGTATGCAATTTTGGTCTCTGTTGTTTTTTTCCTTCTTTTTTTTTGTTGCTGTTTTTCTTTGCGACACTCCTTTTCCTTGCGACACTCTTTTTTAATGTTCGATGCGAGGAAAAAAAAAACAACCCCTCCCTCCCTGCCATGAAAATTGATCATAAGGATGCTAACCAATTTTTTAAATTTTACATGGCCTAATATAGACCAACAATACAAGGTAAGTCACACATATGCATACTGTACTGTTTGTCAGCCTTAGTTTCATTGATAGATAACTTCCCACACAACCATACTGTTACAAATGCAACAAGAATAATAAACATGGTTGTGAAGCAAAGATAAAAAAATAAGATTTTTTTTAGATGTGCTATAATTGTATTCCTTTACTGTATTTATGCAGTTCAGATTTGTTTTGTCTGTTAAGAATAAGACAAACAAAAACAAAACAAAACAAACAAAAACAAAAGTTTGTTTTGTTTGTTTGTTTTGCTTGTTGTCTTATTAAGACAATTCGTTCCCCACAGGATGCTGATAGTGCCGTAAAGGTCAGCGGTGAGGTCACCGGGTTGATTCCTGGTCAACATGGCTTTCACATCCACGAGTTTGGTGATTATACAAGCGGTAAGACTAGTTCAATTTACAGTGACTATCGTAACTTTGTTTTTCATGTTCAAGAAGCAACATGTCATGTCATGAGCACGGGTATATGCTAGTTCTGATGATTTTTGACGCAAGAAACAGGGTTGCATGGTTTATTAGAGGGAGGTTGGCTGAAATACAGAAATCCATCTGCCCTGGTTACAGGCCTGATATTTTTTTATCCTTAAAAATAGGTTGTTCTAGTGCTGGATCTCACTTCAATCCATTTGGAAAAACCCATGGTGGTCCAGAGGATGAAATAAGGTAACCAAAATGTCATTTTCTGAGGTTGCTCCAAGACAAAAATTAGATGTGAGGATTTTCCGTCCATACGAAAAGCACATTTTTACTCAGTGAAAAACACTGGATTTGCAACATGTTAAAACAACATGCATCACATCAATATCCGTATGCTCCTTTAATTCGTTGACATGGCGTTGTGTAAATACTTGATGTTTATGATAATTGATCAACATGTTAAAACAACATGCATCACATCAACATCTGTATGCTCCTTTAATCGTTGACATGGCGTTGTGTACATACTTGATGTTTATGATAATTGATCAACATGTTAAAACAACATGCATCGCATCAACATCCGTATGCTCCTTTAATCGTTGACATGGCGTTGTGTAAATACTTGATGTTTATGATAATTGATCATTTGTTCATTTTATTTCTTGTTGTTGGTCAGACATGTTGGCGATCTTGGAAACTGTGTGGCTGATGAAAGTGGTATTGCCAAGGTTGATTTGACTGATAATCTGCTTAAACTCACTGGCATTCACTCGATCATCGGGCGTTCCGTTGTGGTAAGTAATCTTTTCTTAAATGATCTTTGGGTTCTTGGTCAAAATAATTAGTAATAATAATAATGTTATATTTATGTAACTTGTAATGCAAAAAAGCTTATAATGTGCTTCACATAAAACAATAGCATAGGGTATGCAAGGAGCGGTCGGAAAGGTCGTATGACCCAATTTTCAAAGTTCCACATTTTTTCTAGGGCCTTTTCACAATAACATAAATGAAAAAGCATTGATGAGGTACCAGCAATGAGTCCAAAGACTTTGCCAATTGCGTGACGTAAGATATTTCAATTCTGGAACTGAGCCTGCCATCCGCTTCAAGTAAATTGTATTGACATTTTAATCACAGCTTGCTGTTATTTCATTGTGAAAAGGTCCAAAAAATTATGATCACAACCCACCCAGAAAAAATCTTGGATACACCCCTGAATAGTTTATTTTAAAAAAAATAATTAGGCTGCTTTCAGAAGGCAAGACTTTTATATACTTGTTTAGCAACCTGTTGCCTGCAAATAATGATTTTGAATAAAAATAAATTTTATTTTTTGGCAATTAGCCAATGGAAATTTTAGAAAAAAATAAAAGTTTTCCTTTATTTTTATTACGCCATCCGCTGTCTTGATTTCTAATTATATAAATTTAAACCATCCCATTACTACACTATTTACATTCACCAAGAAATTTTTATTTTTTTTGGCAAAACTGTTTGATAAATAAGAAAACAAAATTGTATTTCTGCCCTCCTCTGATGATCTTGAAACAATCACCTAAAGGATGTATGTTAATGGAAAACGGTTGAAATTCAATTTTGAGGGGGAAAAGTTTTCGTCGCGCAATAACATGGCAACAATCAGTGGCGTAATGCTGAGGCTCTGTGGCTTTCAGAGACTAGGGGATTTTTTTTGGGTCCCGCCAATTCCATTGTGGGATTTTAGATGCGTTTGTTTTTTTTAAATCATGTTTGTCATTGTATTCTAAATGTTTTCAACAACGAAATAAATTGTATACGAGGAGGCAGCCTAGGTAGGGACTTTCACAGATGGAGGGGCTATACCATGTCAACCCCACCATGGTTGGGGCCGAGGTAAGAAAATTTGATAAATTTATGGGTTGGGGGAGGGAGCGTGTTCCCCTTTAATCCGTCACTGGATTATATGTATCCTGGGTTGTGGTGGCATCCCCTGTAAACCGATTGCAGGCGATATATTTTGAGTACCACTGCAAGAAAGTGCATAGGCATTACACCACTGGTGGCATTGGGAAGAATAAAAAGACAGAATTTTTTCCTGAAAGTAACATTTACAAATTTCATTCCAATTTCCAGGTTCATGCAGATGTTGATGACCTGGGCAAGGGTGGTCATGAGCAGAGCTTGACGACTGGCAACGCTGGTGGCCGTCTTGCATGTGGCGTGATTGGCATCACCAAAGCTTAGATTCATTTGTAGTAAAATGTGTTCAAGTTGTTAATATGATGATCCTTGTTGTTGATTTTTACCACATCCTAAAAGATCTGTTAATCTGTGAAATGCCTTATTGGATTGGTAATTAAAAATTATAAATTATGTAAACAACCTAGTAATAAAGTGTGTGGTGCTTAAGTAGTAGCTCTTTCATTTTGGGAAGATGAGAACTACGACATGTCTAATAAAAAAAACCAAAATTCGCCAGAATTGGAATAACAAATAGCAAGACAAATAAATTTTGGAAAATAAATATATTGTACTAATGTTGCAACTTTATTGTGTAATATTTTTCAAAAACAAATTTCTAGTTCCTCTGATTATCAAGTACCGTAGCAGAATACGACACCCTACTACTCTTGATTATACCTCTGCAAATGCCTAAACACAATATCAATCTCGGACTCAACTACAGAAATTTTTCCATTTTGAGTGTTTATAATACCACATGAATAACATGTGAACAATGAATGGTTCAAAGTAGGCAGTGGCGTATCTAGGACTGCACAGGCCCCACCCCCCACCCCCCCAAAAAATTTTGTTTCTGCCATTGTAAATTTTTGAAGGAATAGACATTATTTTGCGAGTCATAGCCCCTCAAGCCCCATTTCAAGACTTGTTGATACGCCACTTGCAACGCTTCTTAAAATTCGATACGAACGGGTGTTGGGATTAGTTGCTTCATATCAATTTCTCTGTTATGAAGGTGGTAGCTATCTAATTTTATGCAGCCAAGAACAGTCATTGTACATGGCCTTGTATACTGTATTTCAGGTTCCACTTGCTACCTACCATCATAAAAGCAGTCTTGCCCATTTTGGGTAGTTGACGGTGGCACAACACCTATGGGCTCTCACAGGACAAAGAAACGGCCCCTCTTGCTCTGCTACAGAGCTTCGACAACGGTTTAGCAGGACACCAAAAATTAAGCCCCGTTTTTTTATATTTCTAACAGCGGAACTTCAAATACAAGGCCAAATTATTAAGCACAAATTTTCAAAAAAGTATGCCAAACCTGTGCACGCATTATAAGGCGCGTGTAAAAAAAGCCGATTCTGTGGTTCAAAATCGTAAAAATTATTTGTAACGCAGTCTTTTTAGCCATTATATTCCATATTAGGATTCACTTAAATACGGAATTCTTGGCCACTTGGATGGGGCCCCTAAAATTTCTTGACCTGTGGAGCCACATGAACGATTGTTACACCACTGGTAGTTGAATCTCAAGTTTTCATCATTTACTCAACTACAGTACAATAAAGACCTACCTTACACCGGCAACCAGCTGGAGTTGCACGTATCTGTAACTGTAAAAGCATTTTCCCGTACATGTACAGTATATTAAATGCTTGAATAAGCACCGCTGCACCTATAAAATTTTTGCAGGCTTCAGTGCAGTGCTTGTTCAAGAGCGGCGCTTATAAAAAAATATAGGCACCGCGCCTTCCATGTCTGTTCCCATGAGACCTATCTCATGTATTCCCGTAGTTCAGTAGGCCCTACATTATCATAAATAAACGTTTACACCATAAAGAAAAGCTTGTGTCTTCATTGCATTATTTGTTCATTTTAACACTGTATACATTGTATTTAAAAATGTTGTTTCTCAAAGCGTTCCATTACACACAGGGTAATATATACTCTTGATTAAGTGCGACAGCGCTTATTCGAGAATGGCAGGTAGTTTTAAAAAATCGGGTTCGGTGCAGTGCTTATTCAAGCATTTAGAGTATATTCAATGCTACAATATGTATTAATTTGTTAAACTTCTGTATTTGATAAAATTCAAACTTTGAAAACATGCACAATTATGTCCGAAACGACAATGGCGTATTCGACTAGTCATTTCATTGACGATTTTATGTCGATTATTTTTTTCATTTGGCTGGTTTGTAAAATAGACTTAACGCCTAGTTATCCACATGACCCCAAAAAAAAAAAAAAGGTCAGTACAGCTACAACATTTGCTTTAATATACGCAGTCAAAAAATATTTGTAGGTTAACAGAATTCATAAACTGCATGAAAACATTTTACAAAACCCATACTGCCACAAGCCTTAATTACGCTAGCATGCATCGCAATAGCTACACAGCCTGGCGTGGTTTAACGAAGAACGACCAGTCGAATACAGCCATTGATAAACAGAAACAGGTTTTGCACAAAAAAAAATAATTGAATTAACAGTTCATCTTCATCTAGTAAACATTATGTAAACACCTTTGATTTGCCTAGAAGAGACAAAAATAAATGGAGATGGAAAACAAAAGTAAAGCCCACTAAACAAAACACCAAAATACAAGAATTTAAACAATTTTTAGCAGAGATGTGGCCGATTACATTTGTCTCCAATTAAAAATTACATTTACAGATTTACAGTATTAGTAATACATGTGTTACAAGCAATCTGCATATTAAAAATCCAAGTTGGTATTTCAAATTGACAAAATTTGAATACTAGAATTTCATACTTCATTTCAGAGGCATTCACCATGCAGGGCATTTTGATATCTACATTAACGAGTACATCCACTATTTGTATACTATACAAGTTTTGAATAGAGTACACTTTAAATACATAAATCAAATACATCACTATCATTAAAAAAAAAAAAAAAAAAACAAAGTCCCCATTTGGGACAGAACCTGCATTCATCTTCCACATCAATTGTCCCTCACCTCAACTGGGATGATCGCTATTTGCGATAGGATCCCTCATCTCTTTGAATTGATCACAATTTGCGATCGCCTCTCCTCAGCTGCGAGATAATCGCTATTTGCGATAGGATTGTCTTCGGTCTCGATTTGAGAACCTGTTGGCCTCCATTTGAGGCTTATACAAATGCAACATGTCACTTTTCATTTTCTTTCATTCTTCACTTGTCTTGATCCTCTTCATTTTATATATAGCTAGCGGTGTCCAAACTGCATGCAAATGCTTAACTATGAATAGCAACCAACAACTGGCCTAGGCAAAAGCAACCAGTGTTCTAAATTACTGTACATTGATATACATACCTAGAAAAATCACCTTTAAAACTAAATTACATACAGACCCTCCCAACAAGAATAATGACATGTGCAAACAGAGGGGACCCAGGGAGGGACTTCCACAGTTGATTGGTCTAGACCATGGCTGGGACCAAGGCACAAAGGTTTTTGTATATGGTATACTTAGATGGCTGGATATGGTACCCTCAGACTTTTTATTTTCATTTTTAGTAGACAAACCTTGTTTTTTTGCTTTTACCTAGGCCAGTGCATTGCTACTTTTTAACCTCAATATCAACTTCCAAAAGTGCCAGGTGTACTCAGCATTTACAAAAAATAAAAATTTATTTTTCACACATAAAAAATGAATCCATTCAGAAAATCATTTATAATTATACATCTGGTTAAAGTACAATTGGAGGAACTCAGTTGTTGGTACAAGGACAGATACATATATTTTTAAGTTGCATTGAACACTTTTAACTCAAATCTTAAACTGTGAATTTCTATTAATTTTCTTAATATTTAATTTAAAATTGATTGTTTATCAATGAAAGAAAAATTATGAAAGCTTAGTGAATAGCCTAAGAGGTCACATTCACAGTCAAAGATATGAGTTTAATCATGTACAGTATTAGACATATTCATTATGTTATTGTTTTTCATTGAAGCACACAAGTTCCTTGGTACATGTAATGATCATCAAATCACTTTATTTTAAATCCAACAACTGAGTTGTTCAATTGCTCTGTACATTATTTTCTCTTAGTTTACTGTTTGTACACTTATTTGCACTCATATGGGTATGGATACAACCAACAAGATTGCATGTATGTTCAATAACAATACTAGTTCATTGCGATGGCTCAACACCAGATTCGTTAGTGACATTTTCAGATGCTGCATCTGCTTGTCCAGCATTGTCCATTTTAGCGCCATCTTGTGGCAGTAATGCATCAACTGCACTAGGCTCTAAATTTTCTGCATGGTGATTTCCATTTTCAATGGCATTTGGGAATTCGTTTAAAATAGGTAAATCTGGTTCCTGAAGGGGTTCTGATTTTGGCTCAAAATTACCAAGTTCTTCTGGAAGACCAGGTTCAATTTCCAATGGAATGCTTGGCTCCATCATTGTTTCCGGTTGTGTTTCAATTGGAACACTTGCTTGTGAAGGCAACTTTTGCGCATTAATATTTGGTTCATCAGGAACAGCAGGTTGAATGGATGGCATTGAGGGTAGTTGCTCAGGAGCCGTGTCTGGCTCTTTAATGACAGGAGCTGTAACAGCATTTGTAATGGCAGCTGGAACAGCAGCTTCAATAGCTGATGGTATTTCAGGTTCTTTAGCATCCTGTCTTGAGGTATCAGCACTAGTATGTGGCTGCTTCGGTCTTTCCTGTTTTGGAATTTCTGCTTCTCCTTGTGATGGTACCTCCAATTTTGGTTTTACTTCAGAAGTAGGTGCAGCAGCATTTTTCTTATTTGGTTGGCTTGCATCAGCAGATGGGACATCAGAAGTTTGTGAAACAGTAGACTCTTCTTCTGAAGGACCCCATCGACTCTTTCTTGGTCTGTCTCTAGCTCTATCTCGATGATCTCGATCTTGATCACTCCTTCCTCTACGACCACGTTCTCTATCTTGATCTCTTCTGGACCTATCACGATCCCTGTCTCTATCTCGGTCTCTGTCTCTATCACGATCTCTGTCTTTACCACGCTCTCTTTCATCTTTGTTTTTATCTCTATCACCTCTTCCTCGGGACTCCCTGTCCCTCCAATCTTTGTCTTTTTCTCTCCAATCCTGATCAGATTGCCTCCAGTCTCTCTCTGAATCCCGCCATCTACCTGAATCTCGACGCTGGTCCTGTTCCCTGAATCGATCATGTTGAGGATCATGTTCTGACCATGGTCTGCGAGGCTCATCTCTTTGAGGCCAACCTCCCTCCCTTGAACTTCTCCTTTCAGGTCCACCAGGACCTCTCATTTCTAATCCTCCTGGACCTCTTCTATCTGGTCCACCAGGACCTCTCATATCTAGTCCGCCAGGAACTCTCATTTCTGGTCCGCCGGGACCTCTCATTTCTGGTCCGCCGGGACCTCTCATTTCTGGTCCGCCAGGACCTCTCCTTTCTGGTCCACCAGGACCTCTCCTTTCTGGTCCGCCAGGACCTCTCATTTCTGGTCCTCCTGGGCCTCTCAATTCTGGTACTCCTGGACCTCTCATTTCTGATTCTCCTGGACCTCTCATTTCTGGTCCTGGACCCATAGGTTGTGGTCCACGCCAATCCCTATCAGCTGCTCTCCAATCTTGGTCCTGTCCAGGAGGGCCTTGTTTTATTTTACCATATCTATCTCCTCCACTATCTGCTTGCCATCGGTCGTCTTGATGAGCAAGTCTGTGGCTATGGGCGTCTCTTTGATCAACGTCATTTATGCGATCATCGACATCACCCATCTTTGACCTATCGACAATATTTCTATCCATTAGCTCATGACCAGGCATTCCTGGTAATGGTGGTCTGATTCCTGGAGGCAACATTCCAGGAACTGGACTTCGAATTTGAACACCTGGTGGTAGTCCCCGTATTGCTGTATGGGTACTGGATGGAACACCTTGTATGTGCACCTGAGTAACAGCCATTCCAGGCATTCGTACTGAAAGATTAGAAGGTATTCCACGCTGGAATATTGGTTGTCCACGAACTGCTACCATTGGGTGCAACATTCTGACACCTGGTACCCCGAACCGAACTCCTGGAACAGGAGCAACTTGCTGCAAAGGCTGATTTAAAAGACCAGCAGATTGTGCCCGTAATGCCAGCCCAGTAACTTCTCTGGCTGTCAAAGGTCTTGGACCAAGAAGTGGTTCTCTTCCCTCTTTTATTTCTTTTGGAGCTTCTGACTTAGTTTCTTCATCTTCATCCATCATCTTATTCAATGCTGCAACCATGCTCAATGCATTATTCTTTGGTGGCAAAGGTTTCTTAAAAGGATCATCTTTGGGTGGTTGGTTTGCATCTACACTGCTGGATGATGACGGCTTTGGTGGTTCATCAGAAAATCTTGAAGGTCGCTCACGTGAATGTGCTTGAGACGGAAGATTCGGCTGTCCAGGAGCAAGGCCCAGAAGACCTGGTACTGCAGTATGAACTCCATCCTGAACTGGTCCTCCAGGTTGCCCCATTCTAGGTGGCAGACGAAATGGTACAAATCCAATTCTGGGTGCAGGTTGTCCAGGTTGAAGAAACTGTGGTCTTGGCAAACCTGGTGGGTGTTGATGCATAGCTTGAAATCCAGGGATAACCAGAACCTTACTAGGTTCAACTTGTGGAGTAGAGTCTCCGCCTGTCTTTGGGTCACCCAATTGGCCAGCTGGTGGTGCTTGGCTAACAGGCTGTTGAATACCACCTGGTGGAATACCACCTGGTAGAATTCCCCGGATTGGTAGCTGGGGTGGGGGACGACTGGTATCAAATCCAGCAGGAAACTGGAATCCGGGAGGTGGCAATCTGGGATTAAAAGTGGGTAGTTGATGGAACCCAGCAGGAGGAAAAGTTGGTGGCTTGTCTGGAAGCGGAACTGGAGGATGTGATGCGGTAGTTGTTCCAACAGGTGGCACTGGTGCAGGTGCCCCACCAATTGGTACACTGGCTACCAAACTGGGTATAGCTCCTGCTGTTGGTAAGCCAGGAATTGGTTGAGCTGGTGCTGAAAGGCCTTGAATGGTAGGCAATGCAGGATTATTATCTGTACTAGGAGGTTTGTTATCATCAACTTGTTCATTACTTTCTGCAGGAGCCACTTCTAGAAAATAATAAGAAAAATGAAAAGATCACACGTTTGAAGAAATATTCTAATTACCATCGAATTTGCTTAAGTGCTCTTTAAAACCTTTACGATCAACTCACCTTTTTTAAGTTCTGGCGGTATGGTTTCAGGATCAAGTACACCACCCTCAGCGATGTCATCCAGATCCATATCATCTCGGACTCTTTCCCAAGGGATGTATGTCACACCTTTATCGACAATCCAGTGCTCCTTGTACTCCTTGCCCTTCACACCTTTCCCAGGTGCAAATGCCACCTGTAATGTTAATCAGCAATTAACATAAATTTAAAATTTTGCTGAACTATTTACTAAGAGAAACTATTATTTTAATAAAACCAGTATGTTTACTGCTGTTATATAGCAACGGCAATGCAGATGTATAAGGTAATTCCTAATAAGGCATGAGGGACTTTTCAAACTTGCCAAGTGCTAAATCAATCAGTGTCGATCGAAAAAATTGTCAAACTATATCAATAAGTGTTAACCTTACTCAACCTAAAAAGGTGGTTGCAAAACTAATATAATGGCAAAAATTTATTGACAGTAAACAAAAATTTACCTTGAGGGTCATTCCACCAAGTTTTACTTTTTCCATCCTCTTGATTGCTTTGTAGGCTTCCTTCCTCTCAGCCATCACTACATATGCACATCCACGAGGGGGAACCATCTGTCAACAACACAGTATAAGATACACTATCATTATTTATGTCATTCACATGCAAAAGTGAGTCAGTCATGGCTTACACAGGTATATCACAATAACAGACTTTACCTTCGTAAGATTAGGTGCTAAAATGCCTTAAGAATTTGCTTATAATTGCTTAGAAATTACTTAAAAACACCAAAACACAAGTCTTTGATTTAATTACAGTTGAACTTGCCTAAATTAAAACAACAATGGCATAGACAAATTGTTTGACTTTGATAAAATATGACTTGCAGATCGTAAATTAATGGAAAACACAACAATTTGGCAAGTAAAATAAGGTGAACTTAGAAATTATTCGAGTTAGGCAAAGTCGACTTAGGCAAGTTTAATTTTATTACAATTATTTACCCAGTATAAGCATGAATTTGCTTTTGTAAGCGATTCAGTGTTAGGTCCCTACATATTATAAGTAGTAAGACTTACATCGATAGAATTAACTATGCCGTGTTCTTCCATCAAATTTCGGATCTCACTTTCAGGTATATTTTTTGGTACGTGACCCAGCCACACTGTTCTTGTACACACTAGATAGAAGAAAAAAAATAATAATAGAAAGTTAGTACTTAAAATGTAATGTTAGAGTCAGTATGTCTTTTGACTAACTACAATCCATATCTTAAGTTTGTAAAAACATCAATAACTCATACACTTTTTAATAGAAAATTTAACATAAAACCTTATTATTTTAATGGATTTCAATGAAAATTGATTACTTTTTTAACCTTTTAAAGATTAAATAATTGTTAAATTAAAGTGTTTATGGCATCCTGTGCTGGATTCAGGAATTTGAAATAGAGGGGCCCAGGGAGAGTCTATTACAGATTAGTGTCTAAACTTTTATGGATGGCAACTCTAAATGGTCGGAAATAGTACTCTCTGAATTCATTTGAATATTCTTATTTTCCACTTTCTATTAATTTTGAAAAATTAAGAAGGGGTTGTCTCTTCTCTTATAGAATCCATCTATGATTCAACACAGCATATCTAAGCATAAGCAAGACTGCCCATACCACTCAAATACTCTTTTCTGATTGGTGGAAGTCCTTTCTTCTCCCTCTCCCTTTGAATCTCTTTCTCCTTTTCTCTTTCCTTCCTTCTCTCGCGCCTGTCTCTCGAGCGTGATCGTCTTGATCTTCTCGATCTGCTCCGTGAGCGTGATCGCCTACGTTTGTGACTTCTTGAGTGAGATCTTGAACGGGACCTTCGTCTTTTGGGAGAGCGTGATCTTGATCTACGGAAGCAAAAGTAGGATATTTATTAATCCTATTATTTCAAAATTACAAAATATAACAGACAAATACTGATACAAACATTGTTCCTAACTCGCCTAATTCTTAATATGAGGGTTATTTGAAGAGCCAAATGGTCAATTAAAACCAGATGCTGGCTGAGTTTGAACCAGTCTTTTTCAAAAATGAAAAGCAAGTAACTACATAGTATTTAGGCTCTTCAAAAAGCGTGATCTTGATCTATGGAAGCAAGAGTAGGATAATTTATTAATCCTATTATTTCATTCCCTTAATGTGATATTTATTCAATATTAAATTTTAAAAAATATGTCTTTAAGAGCAAATACCAACTTGGCTTAATAGATCAATTGGTAGAACAATGGTATTCAGAGGATTAAAATTCTTTTAAAAAAAAACTATTCGTCTTTTAAAGTGAATTCTTAAACACAGGGTTTGTACGTTTTTAAACAAGCAAATTTCCAGGACAATTCCAGGAAATTCAAGGTCAAATTTTCCAACTTTCAAGGACACAATATATAGCTTAACAGTAAAATATCAGCGATTTTATGACTGGTTATAACAACATATATGCTGTACTACATTTAAATGCATGTTAGTTGAGTGTATATTAAGTTTTATCAAACTCTAATTTGGAGGCAATGGACCTGTCTCTTTTTCTCACACTTGTGGGAAATTAAGTTTTTCTTACACGTGTAAAATTTGATGGTAAGCAAAGGAATTCCCACGAGTATGGGGAAGTACCGGCAAGGGTGATCGCCTACAGTGAAGAAGAATTCTCCCCTCGGCAACATAAATGTGCGCGTGCAACAATTGTCTTATCTTTGCTTTAACGTGACAGTGTCTTTTATGGTACTGGCGCGCCCGAATCCAACTCGGTTCTTTTGTGGTGCTGCGGGGTGGGTTGCCGTCTGTCCAGGGTTGTTGTTCAGTGAACAGCTGTGGCGAAGTTGACATGTATATACATTAAAACAGGCCTACAACTTTTATAATCTACTCTACAGCAAAATGTTAACGTACGACACCATCCTACCGGCACTGATCTGCTGCCGACCAGCATTGTTTTTCAATGATTTTGTAAACTTCAGAAACATAATTAACGAAATATCTTGCCCTTAATTCAAGAACTTTAAGCAGTAAACGTCCTTTAAACACTATTCACTAAGAAAATAACTGTAAAGTACATGTTCCCATGGTTACTTTAATTGTTAATTAACTGCCTTGTGCTGGATAGGGCCAAAACATGCCTATTCGTGCTGAACAAGTGTTCACGTCTGGAGAGCGATGAATTACACAAAGTGAATTCACCGGGCTGAGCACGTGCGACAAGACCTGTTCAATTGGTTCAAGTTTAATATTTCAGTACTGTTTATAACACACGACAGAAAGCAAATAACACCATAGCAGATGTCAACAAGGTTAACGATTATGATTATCAATGTCTGAATTAAAATTAAATGCAAACATAATTAATATACAAGATTTTAAAAAAATACTGCCTTTAACATAGGCTCTATTTACTGAATCGCACAAGTTTGTCTGAACCAGCCAGTCGACCATTTTCAGCAGTGACATTTTTTGTCTTTGATAACATTCCTGAATTGGCGGCGTACAAAGACTTGACCTGATTCTCTCAAGAGTATTGTGGGAACCTACTTGTGGGAACGTTTCTCATTCAATTTACTGTTACTTGTAGTACTGCAATTAATAGTAAATGATCAAATTTCCAGGACATTCAAGGACAATCTTAAATTTCCAGGACTTTCCAGTACTGGAAAATGCTCATTTGTTTTTCCAGGACATTCAAGGAATTTAAGGACACGTACGAACCCTGTAAACAGCTTCTACCTAAAGGGCTGGCATGAGAGATACCATAGTGCACTGTCTTTTAGAAGAGACACTTAAGCCGATGGTCACATTTTAAAAACGCGAGTGGAGAATTGTCTACTGATTTAAAGACCACCAGCAGGCTAGAAATTTTTGACTTTGTTGAATGCAGGAACTTAACAGAAGTCGATAACCTGTCGTATCTACAAATTAAGATTACACCATCAAAACTAATTTTACACAAAATAGGCCATAAAAACTGACCAAGTATATAGTGGTCGCGAGTATAAATATCCTTGTAAGAGTACCACAATGTCTCTCTACATCTCGGTAAAAAAAATCTGAGATATGCCGTCGCACATATCTTGACTGTCTGCGTATCAATTGTACCGACTTATAGCTTATATACATTTGTATTTTGTTGACAAATCTCGGTAAGGAAATCTCACACCAGATATCCCTGCTAATGATTAGTACATTTCTGCTGTGTCAATATGGTAAAATCTTATCACTTTTTGTCATTAATAAATTATATATTTAAAAATGTTTTTATTATTCTTTTTATATAAATGCATTGATAGGCATCTTTCATACATAATTAACCGGAATATTGCTGTAATCTATTTAAGACCAGGAGGCTGTCATGAAGTATTCAAGTGAAAAGGGCTCCGATGAAAGACGACAAAATATCTTACAGGCAGTGCTGAGGGTAAATAAGATCTATTACCACAAATAGTAGTTATATTAGTAAAGAAATAAAAAATCGGCTAAACTGTAAATTAAATATCAATATTAAAACATGTAGAAACCTTGTACGGCTCCTCCTTCTGGGAGACCGGCTTTCTTCTACCATTTCCATATTTAGATCTTCTGGCTCCATCTCCATATTTTGAACGGACGGCTCTGGAGGCTTTTAGAGTAAGAATATAAAGATAATAATAAACACAATAAAAACTATATTTCACATTATAACGTAACACTAATAATTCTGTTTGTCTTTATTCTAACTGGAAATCGGACATTTGGGCGTGGCTACTGGGAACCAGTGGCAGCACCACCCGACTTAATTACAAAATATAACAGACAAATCTGGATACAAACATTGTTCCTAACCCACCTAATTCTTAATGTGAGTGTTATTTGAGGAGCCAAATGTTTAATTAAAACCTGATGCTGGCCAAGTTTCAACCGGTCTTTTTCAAAAATGAAAATGAACATGAGGCAAATTGTGTACGCTGGGTTTATAGTCCTTATCTGAGAAGACTTGTTCCACCACCAGAACCATAGGAAAACATGCCCTTTGAACCAACGCCTATATTAAGGCTGTATATTGCGGCGGCCTGGCCTTAACCACTCGGCTATACTCGTCAGGATCCCTACCCAGTGTCACAACTGTGCAGAATACTTTGTTACATAGCTTTTCTAATATTTAAATATACTCATGATGCCTTCATAGCCTTCTTTCTATGACATAAGCTGACCTGTTGTTGTATCTCCCTATTGAACGCTTCCTGCTGCTGTATGAGATGGTGGTTGTAGGCATGGGGGTCGGGTGGTGGATGCCCCACATTGTTCATCTGTGGATTCACCTCCACTCCTTTCTGCACACCGTAACTACAATGAAAAAACATAACCAGAAATTAAATGGACGATTGGATGAATGGATATTATACGGTGTAAACACCAAGGATAACCCACGAAAGTCTAGAATAAGACTTATTTCCAATGGCCTCCTCCTTTTGGTGATTGGGCAGCACCCTGGGAGACAATCCTCCACTCTTTTTACGAATAGTGTACACTGCATTTTTTAACATACACACGGTACCAAAATCTTAAACATCTCATCCAAAATATGATGCATTATCGTAACTTGCATTTCAGCTCTCCAGCATCGATGGGAATTGAAACGGGGACCTAGAGAACTTCACGATTCAGCGCACACACAGTGGCTACCACCTGTTTAGCCGGATGAGCTAAGCTGACTGTTAGCTAATAATGGTAAATGCCCAGCGATGCAAGGCATCGCTTTAACATAGTTCCCTGGCTAAGAACCTTTAATTTCTGTACTTGGGCTGTGACCGGGACTTGTACATGTACGCAACATTTCCGAAAGTTACATTCCCAGCTTGGTTGATGATTTTTATTCGATTATTATTTTTTACTATTTAAAAAAATCTTAAAGCCCACTATTCTTTCCCACTTTCCTTTTTTTTTCATATTGTATTTTTGTACTTTAAGTAACTAACCTTGGATACTGGTTTATAGATTCCTGTGGTTCATGCTTGGTTGCAGAATGTGATGGCTTGTCATCATCCTCATAGTCAAAGTCATCTAGCAAAGACTAATGAAAAATAACCAATCTTAATTAGTATCTATATTTGTGGTGTGGATGGTATGGTTTTCATTTTGTTCAATATCTACAAAGAACTTGTGTAAAATGGTTCTAGAGTGAAGAAATACATTTTGTCCTATTTTGGCTGATTAGACACAATATTTGAAATAAAGATTTCATAGTAGGTCAGCAGAAGCTGTACAGGAATACATGTAAGATGTAGCTTAAAACATCATACTTTTACCAATCAACTTAAATAATGCTTATCACACATCATTAACATAATAATAATTAATAATAATTTATTATGGAAAAACTCTTTTAAAACAGCGGCACCCATCACAATACTGGTGCATCTAAAGTTACAAAAATCAAACACATAGTAAGATGCTTAACAATACAAAGAAAAAAAAAGCACACATTCTTTGTAGAACACACAATATTAAAGCAAAGAAACAATAGTAAAAAAAATCATTACGGCACCCATTACAATAATGCAGCATCTAATGTTACAAAAATAAAATACATGCTTAATACAAAGAAAAAAACATAAAATGAAGTACACATTCTTTGTAGAACACCCAAAATTAAAGCAAAGAACTAATGTTAAAAAAATCATTACATTGGCCCATTTTTTATCTCTAATCTTTTGGCCCATGCCTTCTTAATATATTATTTACAAAAATCCTCAAAAATCTTAAGAGCCAAGTCAATTAAGTTATTAGGTAAAGTAGGTATAAACTCTGTGCAATCTCCGCCTATCATAAGGAAAAAAAATATATCAGTATTATTTATAAGGATGTGATTACATAACTCCGATAAGCCTGAGTCATAAAGTTTATTCACCAGAATTCCGTGCTCCGTTAATTGAACTTCTTCAAGCTTATTACAAATAAACAGAAAATGTCGCAAGTCTTCAATACTATTCTTACACAGTAAGTATGTACAAGGATTATTATCATCCCACTTACTAATTTTAATTTCAAGTTGAACTGAATTAGAACATGCCTTAAACTGATGTTGAGCACCATAAAAATCAGTTTTAGTTACAGTATCACAAAATTTAACATTACACTCAACATTTGTATACTAATGCTAAGCATTTAAAAAATACAACACCTACTTTGTTGAAAGCAACTGGTGGATTCTGGTCTGTCTCTGGCGGTGCCTTGGCAACCACCGCCCCCACCTGGCTTGTCACCTCAGTCAGTTGTGCAGCCAGTTGCTGTATCTGTGCAATCATTTCAGGGTCGAGTCCCGCTGGGGTCTGTACCTGCTTTGCTTTATTCATCACTTTGGTGTGATTCTCTAGTTGCTGCTGCAGTTGCTGCAGATGCTGCAGCTGGTTTTGTTGCTGCTGCAGCTGGTTTTGTTGCTAAAAAAAAAAAAGAGGGAGAGGTTGGATTAAAATATATCATCTGTGTTTCCCTTATGTAAACATATAATTCCATTTTCATACATGGGATAACTTATGTTAGCTGTTCAATGAAAATGTAAAATCTCTCAAATTAATCCAATAACAATAATAATATGGCAGTTTTCATAAAGCAAAATGCCAACAAGGCCTTCACATGCTCTACATTATTAACTGGACCAAACACCGATGAAACACATGCTGCGCTCCTACTCAGTCAATTCTATAATATTGTTGCTAGTACATTTGGCATTTAAGCCCGCCAAGCACCAACTTGAACTATTAGGTGAAAATGGCCATAAGTGAAGTGCCTTCCCTGAGGACACAAGGAAAATTCACAGCAAAGGTTAAAATATACTTAGTACATAGGTTTTTAGCATGGCTCTAACATTTTAAGCGACCTTCGCATTTTTTTCCTAAGCGTGGTGGTCATTTCGATCTTTTGACCAAGTGTGGCGGTCCCGCCACGGTTAAGTATAGCTGGCGAGACCTCTGTCTTAACGGGTCAAAATTCTGATGTTTAATATTTAAGAAATATTTATCAAGGCTTTTCAATAAGTTATTTTATAATAAAATGTACAAATAACTAAGTATGAGGAGTTTTAAGACTGTCAAAATTTATTCGAGCGGAGGCTTATAACAATGACTTTCTTAGGGGTTCATAGCTACGTTAAAAATAGACCTACGCGCTTGCTACATGGAGAATTCATTGTAGAAGGCATTCTTGTGGGGGTTTCATGGTAAAAAGGGCACGCTTGTGGGTTTGTCAAAAATTTTAGTGCTTAAACTTACTTCTTCTTTTTGCTTAGCTTGTTGAATAATCTGGTTAACAAGTCCCATAGAATTTTCATCCAAATCTGGCTTGCTCTCAACTGGAGGCTTGGAGGAGGAGGATGAAGATGATGAGGCCGGCTTCTCTGTCTTGACTGGCGCCACCACTGGCTCAGGAGCTTAAATTAAACAGGTAGAACAAATCACACACATGCACATAACAGAATAATATATTTAAATCTACAGCAGGTTTTTTAGTAAACTGAATATAACTGACAGGAAAAACAATAAATGTAATTATGTTAATAATAATTAGTATTAATCTTACATTAATGAAAGTAAATATACTGTAGACTCATAAATGGTATAGAACTTTGTACAGTATGAATATTTTATTCTACTGAATAAATAATTTAGATATTATAAATATTCCAATAATGCTGAATAAATTATAATAAATAATGTTAACCACAGTAATAAATTATATACAATATTCACTATGAACATATCTTTAGGGGTTTGTCGCTTACAAGTACTTGATATAATTAAATCAACTAGAAACAAAAATTGTACCAACATACAGTACAGTAAACCACTACTATGAACCCTGGTTAAGGAAAACATAATAAAGTATAGTTTTTGAATTTTGACCTTTCAACTTTAACATAAAATTCTTACTGGTGATTTCTATGTTTGCATATAATGTGGCTAGCAGACCTTTAAGGTTAAGAATTTAAAAGAATGAAATAAAAATCAAAATAATTAATTGTATAGATTTAGAATAAAATGTTAGATATTACTAACATTACTAAACAGTAAACAATACTTACTAGCATTTTCTGGATTAGCCATGTCTAATAGAGGCTGCACAGTCTCTGCTGTAAACACCCCATTTTTCTGCCATAGATTCAGAACTCTGACGATCTTAGCTTTATCATCTTGTGGGCACTTGAACAAGTGCTGGAAGGTGTTGAAGATATTCTTAGCGAACCTTGGAGCAAACACATCCTTCTCAGCACCAAACTGGTGCCTTGACTGACGCACAATCGAATCAATGACGTACAGACCGGGTACTTTGTATTCAGGTCGACACTGAATATTTTGAAAATAAACAAACAGCGTTTACAAAAAATACGAAAGGATTTAAAATGGTGATTAATTATTGCTATAGTACTACATCTATACAGTAACAGGGCTTCTCAAAGTATGGGTGGTGACCCAAAATTAAGTTAGAGTGTCGCAAGACTCAGGCAAAATTTGCTGTAGTAGAGATTGCCTTTGAACTTACATTTTTACTTCAATTTTGTTTACCAGAATGACCCAATTTCAGCAGGCTTACTGTATCTCTTTATTAACATCCTGTGAAGTGGGTCATGGAAAATTATCTGGACATTTGTTTGGGTCATCAGCCAAAATGTTTTAGCCTAGGTGTAGTAAAAAATTGGCAGAAAAAAACGTAAATGAAAATTTATTTTTGGTTTTTCTGAATCTCAGTATATCATATAGTGTCCAAAAAACCAAATTTTCCTTTACTTTTTTCCCACTAAAGTTCATGTCAGAAAAGTTATTATTTTCATATCTTTTGTTATTAATAATTTCAATTCAAATATGGCTATGGTCTATGTAACAGAAACAAGTTTCATTCATGCACAATCTCTTGGTTTGCAAACCTTAAATGAAAATGTAATTTATGCATTTATGTTTATTTTTTTCTTAATTTTCTATATGTTAAATAATTAAGTCTAGCTAAGGGGGAAGGCTAATTATTAGCCACCAGCCATGATGGCTGTCTATCTGGCCTCTCTACAGTTAGGTATTGTTTTACTGAATTTCCATTTAAAAAAACATAATAAGAAATACTCTATAGTATGTACCCATATTGTGCCTTATAGTAGTATAATTCAAGTATACAGTAGTATATGCATCATAAAATTCATGAATATAACACCATTTTTGCATACCTTTTGAATAAATTTTTCCACACTTTGTACAACATGTTTGTATAGCTTAATTGATTTGATTGCCGATTTGGTGACAGCAGTCATCTTAGCCCTGGAGATGGGTGGCTTGCACTCGTACACGCTAGAAAGCTATGTGGAAACAAAAATATTGTTTTCATATATACATTTTATATTTGAATCTTTGAACATGGAAAAAATAGAGCATAACTAACTAAACTTAGGATAAACTAAAGTTTAAAACTGTCATCAAAGGATACGGTCTAAAGATAAAGACTACAAAAGCGAAATGAAGGAAAACAAAATGCGAGGTGAATTATTAATCCCTTCTTCAAACAGCTCAACTACTTTCAAACATCTTCCAGTACCGGTGACAAGCCAGTATTTTTTTGCTTGTAATAGGCACTATAGAAATGTGTTATAGTATAAATATTATTTCTAACAGGATTTGTTAAACCTCTCTGTGTATATTATTCCTTAGGCAGAAATACTACTTGGTTTAGCGAATCTGCTGCCTACCAATAAGGATGATAAAAGTTCAAATAACTTCATTTGGTTTCTACTTACAGTATATACAGTATGATATTGAAATTTTTATAAAATTAAACCAAAACTTTAACTTACTTGCTACATTTTGAACCTATGGCATTGGATCTTCATCAGATATGTGGCAAGTACAGTAAGTTAAATTTTGGTTTACTTTAAACAAAATTTCAATATCATAATAATGTATTCCAATAAAAATAAAATATTATTTTTAGCCAATTACCTAACTCGTCCCCATGAAAAAATTAGGATTTTGGAAAAAAATAGAATCTTTCATTACACCAGCGGCTGCCTTGAAATCTCCAAAAATAAGATATGTATATTTCTTCCTAATTATACAAATATGAAGTGCTTAAACCAACCCATTACTACTGTACACTGTTTAAATCCACCAATAAAATTATTATTTTTATTTTCTCCTCCGTCTGGATGTTTTTTGGCAGAACTATTTGCTAAATAAGAAAAAAAAAATGTTTTTAATTTTTTTTTGCCCTCCTCTGACGATCTTTAAAAAATATAAGTTTGAGAAACAAGGTACTGTATAAAATAAGTCGTGTCTTACTACATTAAAGTGTATTTTATGTATGATATGATGACTCAATCACATAGCATGTATCGGTCAATATGACAGTATGTTAAGAAAAAGAAAACAAAAAAAACATACTCTCATATTGACCTATTCATTCTATGTCATTGAGTCATGTCTTAACTGGAATGTTGCATCATATACTAATGCACAATTATAGGTTTAACCTACTGTATGATATTCAAATTAATGCAGTTGAACTTGCCTACAGTAAGCCAAATCCAAAATGGCATTGAAAAACTTTTAGACTTAAAAGTGAGTACAGTATTTGTGAGGAAATTGCTAATGAGTACAGTATGTTTGATAAAATGAATGTTGAAGTATTATAATTAATCTTGCATAAATTAAAATACAAGTTGGCAGGTTTAATAAACAGTCCTTAGTCTAATAAAATTATGGTGGCTATGTTTAAACCAAGTGTATTACTGTAAGCTGGACACTATGTCGTTAAAACTCCCCACCTTTAGTAGGCATGTTCTTCATAGCAATATTGATGACAGATCTATAGTATGTCATGTACGAATTATTACAATTTCTGCATAATCGTAATTTAATATAGGAAACGCAAAGCGCGATTGCGATCCGTATTCCAATTTGTTCGCTTTTGCAATGAAAAACAATGGAACTATACAGTGTACAAGATACTGTAGTTAGCATTCTTAATAATTTATAATCCTTTTCATAAAGCTACTTGAAATCTCATTATTTATTCCATTGTTGGTCTGACTAACCACAAAGGTGTTAAAAAGAGGTTGCTGCATATATTGTAACAGTTAAGTAGTTTTCAAGTGCCTGTTCTCACCAAAGAAAAGAATACTCCTTGAAAAGGAATAGAACAGTCAGACTACTACTAAGTTATAAAATTTTTACTGTTTGTGAAATTTAGGATATCCCTTAATTGAAGCCTATTTAGAAATAAATTTAGTTTTGTCATATAAAATTATAAAAAATACTGTACGTTCTCAATTTATCAGACACAGATCAAAACTACCTGTAATACTGTTCCCTGCATCATGAGTACTTACCTGGATAAACCTGCCTGTCCTCCCCAAAAAAGAGCACCGTTTGAAAAATAATACAACAGTCTGACTACTACAGGTACTGTACTACTAATTTATACAATTTTTACTATCCTCAAATTAACTTTACACTCTTTTTTCTTGCACTGTTATATTATTTGGCAAGGAAAATAATAATTCAATAATAATGAAAATAATTTCATTAGATTGTCTTTAGAAACCAGTCCATTTTACGTACCCCTTGGTGTTCGTAAATTGAAAAAAAAATTATAAACTAGATCAGGTATTAGTTTCCAATTCCTAGGCCTACTGTAGCTATCCCCTGCCATTGAGCGACAATTGGCTGATGGCGGCCAGGCATAGCATGAACTGACAGTGCAGTACAGTGCAATAGTTGTCATTCTAGGGGTTGGGGATGCCTTGACATTGATAATAATAGTACTGTAGTGGGCGATTCCATTAGGAAGTACAAAAGTGGCCAAACCAAATAATGATCAAAAACATCTGCTATTGGGTGAACTGCATTTCAAATAACACTAGTACAGTATACAAAACTACCAGTTGTCACAACAACACAATCGAGGTTACACTGACCAAGCTGTAATAAGTATGGAGCTGTTTTTCAATAAGAAAAATGTACACTTGACTTTACGGGAGTCTCCTCTTCCACTCGCTGTCCACGACAGGAACTTGTTTGTACTGCATATTATTTTTAAAATTAATTAGCCTAGGCCTAGCTTATTTTTTATTTTTACCTCTTTTAAATGTCAAAAAAATGATGTCCTCAATGACTATACACACATGTGAAAAGATTGTTCATCACATAATATTTTGTAGTCTTGATTTAGTAAGATAAATATAAAGGAGAATTAGCGTCCGTTGGTTGTAAAATTACAGAATGTCACATGGAAAACCCAAAGGAAAATAAAACTTAGCCAGCATCAGACGTCAGTCGCGCCAATCAGAACACAGTAAAGTGTGTTAAAGGTTAACCTTGTGGCAAATGTTGAATAGCTGTGAGCGACAGTGAGTAAAAAACAAAGTAAATGCGGTCTAGCATGACTAGCCTTAATTCGGCAAGGTAGTGATTTCTATACTTCCATTTAGTATTGGATCGCTTTGCAGGTTCTGCTTCAAATTACGGTAAACAAAAAACAACGTGATCTGTAGAAATCGTAATAATTTGTACATGATTTGTCATCAGTATTATTTAAAAGAAGAAAATTCCTACTACCAGAACAATAATATCAGATCAAAATTCTCCGAATTGGGAAGTTTACCAGTATAATTACTGTCTGTTCTCCTCCTCTACTGTATAGGGGAAAATGTAGGCCGTACGTAGGCCTAAATAACATCGAAATTCGAACATACTGAATGCCCACTAGGTTACCTCTAGCTACTAGTGAACTAAACACAGTTTTAAAACATGATCGATCTAATAATAAGGTAGGATATAACAAAACAATAAAGTTCTAACATTGTTTATTAGTAAATTGCAACATTGCTCACGTGTTGAAAGCTGGTAAACTATATTTCAATATTATTTACGCATTGTTTATCAGCCCGACGATCCAGCCTACGATCATTGCAAAGCTAATTAAAATAACAATGACCTTCGTAGTGGTTCGTAGCTACGTTCAGAACGTACCTACGAGCAGATTACGAGAGGTTACGCGCAGATACGAAGCGATAATTTGTTAATAAGATATGCAATGAGTTTAAGCGCAACTACTGTAAGTGGAAATAGTATGAATATCACTTAAAATTTTATTCTACATTTTTTCGCTTTTATTTTTCAAGCAAAATACATACAAAGAGACGAACTACAAAACAATACAAGTTGAGGGCGCTATTCTTACGAACTTCTCATTTACAAATTTTCTCAAATACGAACTGCTTTCAGCCCAATGTGTACGTAAATGGGAAGGTCGACTGTAGGCAGAAATTATACAGTAAACCTCCAGTCGTCTGACCGTGGTGCGAATTTGATTGTGTTGAGCGATCAGATGTTAGTAACGTTATACCGTAATTTTCAACATAGGACCAAAAACAATGTAATTTTCGGACAATACCTGTCTCTT